AAAGTCATCATAAGAACTTGTTAGAACCATCAAATCCCAGTTCCAAGGCCATTTTCTCAAAATGTTGACTCCAGTCAAACTTAACCATTATAGGCTACTATTAAGGAACTAAGTGTTCTGATTTCAACTCGAGCCTTTTCAAACCTAAAACCAACCATCCCCCAAGGTCATACAACAATAAAAGCATATACGAGGAGTCTTAATTAGGGGAACATGAATCTAGTAAGCAAAACGGCCGGTCGGATCATTACACGTATCTCTAGTAACATATGTAGAGGTTGAAACTATGACTGTTTGTCTGAACCTTTGTTAATACTTTCAGAAGTTTTCAATATTATTGTTAACCTATGTGTGCTAGCGATACGACTTGAGTTAAGCTGATCTGTGACTAGTCTGCTAGGGCAAAAGCATTTGTTTTCATAACCTATTGCAAATATGAACTATGTGCTCTTTATATCTTAAGGTCCTTGATCTCAAGTGTTTGGTTCTTCAACAGTAGTATGCTATTACCACTGCCTCTATATGTGTTTGAAGCCTATCTCTTTGGACCTGTTTAATGTGTTGACCACCCATTTAGTTTGTAAATATGATCACTATAATACAGATAGGGTGTCTTGTAGCTTTATAGTATTCTGTTTGACCCTCCAGAAAGAGGTACATACATATGTGGTATTGTATTGCTATGATAATTGGTTTACATTGAAAGAGCCTCATTGACACTTAAACCTATATGAAAAATGAGTTGTTAGTGGTTAGAGGTATTTAGGAGTAGAGTTTAACTCTTGGTTGGTTTACTCTCCCCGGCACAAGCATTGCCCTGTGCCTTGAGACCCTTGGGAACTTTGAAGTGTCGGGGGATTCAAAAGGGGGCTTTGACCTTGAGTGGAACACTAATCTTAGCCTTTTATTTATTGACACTCATTATTCACTTTGGATTTAGTGTTTAATGACAACGAGAGATTTTTAATATAAATTATTTACCATACATAACCGCCACATTAGTATAACCTCTCATAATATTTGAGTATTGTTATTTTATTGTATTTTGCTCAAGTCATTTACTTATGTATTTCATGTATGGCTAAATATACAAAATGTGTGTCTAATGACTTTCTCTTTTCTTTGAACATGTACAGTTGTTTGGGCCTGCTGAGTTCTTGAGATATTCAAGTCCAAGTCTAGCATTGCTATATTCTAGCTGTTCGAAGTCCGTTGTTGCCTGTTATAGCTATTGTTGGGCCTGTCTCTTTGAGGCCCAAAAAACCAGAGTCAAATCTTCTTCTTTTACTCCTTTACTGTTATTGCTTCTCTACCTTAGATATACTGCCTCATTACTTTTGTTGCAGTCTTATTTTTCCATCTCACATATGTATGTAATATCTTATTGGATTGAATGCTTTAATTTATACCTTAAATCATGTGAACAATATAGGCAAGTCTTAAAGAACCTAGGATTAAAAGAAGTGTTAGTTAGTAAATAATCCTCCATTCGCTAATCATAAGCTGTTATAACATTAATTTGCTATGTTTTTGCTAATTCTTCTTGAAGATTTTGAAGCCTAAAAAGCTTAAAAGAGACGGTAGTCCCTCTTTTAAAAGGATAACCAGAATTGAATCGCAAATTTGATATTCTAAAAGGAAATCAACTCTTTTTTGAAAAACAAGGTGCTGCTACTCAAATCTAGATTTTCAAACGATCTCTTCAAGTCTAATATTTAAGAAGCCAAAGTATATCTTATGCTTACTTTTATAACATCTTCATCTTTTTAGAGTAACATGAACATCCATTCTTGAAAGACAAAGTGTTTTATAATTTAGCTCTTTTTTTACATGTTTTACTAAATACAAACATCATACAGTTTTTTCAAAGCTCTTCCAAGCACATATATGCCAATATTACTTTCTTTGACTTCCTTAAGCTCACATCCATTTTTAAACTACATACCTTCTTTGTAAGTATTATGTCCTAATACATAGTAAGTCGTACACATTTAACACTAGTTAAGCATAATATAAATAATTAGTCCTAAATCTAGTATAAGTCCTATGGAGCTACCTAAGGTAGATTTTAAGGGGTGCCTAACACCTTCCCCTTAGAAGAAGAAGAACCCTTACTCTTAATCTCACCGGTTAGTAAACTATTATAGAATATAACTTTAGTAATTAAATAGGTACCCTAATATATATTAAACTATTAGGTGACGACTCTCTTTCATCAACAACATAGAAATCACAAGTTGAATCTTATTTTGACTAGTGCAAAATAGGGTACAACAACCCTTACCTCATTTTGTACGATCATCTCAATATTTTTCAATTATTTGCAGTCAATCTTTTTTTTTTAAACTTGATTTGAGATTTCAATTTGCAATTCTTAATCAGCAATCAACAATAAACTTTCTTTCCTTTGTTTATCAATAACAACAACAACATACCCAGTATAATCCCAATAGTAGGGTCTGGGGAGAGTAGAGTGTAAGCAGACCTTACCCCTACCCCTAAAAGGGTAGAGAGGCTATTTTTGGGAGATTCTCGGCTCAACAGAATAGACAATAATATTAGAAAAGAAACACAAGAAAAGGCCTATAACAAAAAAGATGCAAGAAAGAAAATAACAGCAACAAATAAGTGAAAGGACAATAACACAAAACTATGCAAAACAACAATGTAAACACAACATAGACCGCTGACAAACCTAAACAAAACTCTATCAGACTACCCAGTACAAAGAGGGAAGACCTCTCGACTACCCCTAGCCTACCACCCTAATGCTCGACCTCCACATGTTCCTATCAAGAGCCATGTCCTCGGAAATCTGAAGTTGCGCCATGTCCTGTATGATCACCTCACCCCAATACTTCTTAGGACGACCTCTACCTCTTCTCGGACCTGCCAAAACCAACCGCTCACACCTCCTAACGAGGGCATCTATAGTTCTCCTCTGCACATGCCCGAACCACCTAAGCCTCGCTTCACACATCTTGTTGTCCACAGGAGCAATGCCCACCCTCTATAGAATATCTTCATTCCTTATCTTATCCAGTTTAGTATGCCCGCACATCCATCTCAACATCCTCATTCGGCTACTTTCATCTTCTGGATATGTGAACTCTTCATTGGCCAACACTCAACCCCATACAACACGACCAATCTAACCACCACTTTGTAAAACTTACCTTTGGGTTTCGGTGGCACCTTCTTTTCACAAAGACTCCAAACGTTAACTGCCACTTCATCCACCCCACCCCAATACGATGCATGAAATCCTCGTCGATCTCCCTATCTCCCTGGATGATTGACCCTGGATACTTGAAACTTTCTCTCTTGAGGATGACTTATGAGTCGAGCCTCACTACCATGTTCGCTTCCCCTGTCACGCTGCTGAACTTACATTCCATATATTCCGACTTAGTCCTACTCAACTTGAAACCTTTGGCCTCCAAGGTCTGCCTCCAAACCTCTAGTCTCTCATTAACGCCGCCTCACATCTCATCAATCAGAACTATATCATCAGCGAACAACATGCACCATGACACCTCCCCTTGAATATGGTGTGTCAGGGCATCCATCGCCAGAGCAAATAAGAACGGGCTAAGCGCAGATCTTTGGTGTAACCCCATAACTACCGAAAATAGCTCTAAGTCACCTCCCGTGGTCCTGACCCAAGTCCTAGCTCCATCATACATATCCTTTATCAATCTAATGTACGCTACCACCACCCCTTTCATCACCAAGCATCTCCAAAGCACGTCCCAAGGGACCTTGTCGTACACCTTCTCTAGGTCAATAAACACCATGTGAAAATCCCTTTTCCTATCCTTGTACTGTTCCACCAACCTCCTGATAAGATGGATAGTTTCTGTAGTAGAACGTACCGGCATGAACCCGAACTGGTTTTCAGAAATAGACACCACCTTCCTTACCCTCCCTTCCACCACCCTCTCCCAAACTTTCATGGTATGGCTTAACAACTTGATGCCTCTATAGTTGTTACAGTTCTAGATATCACCTTTATTCTTGTACAGCAGAATCATCATACTACATCTCCGCTCATCTGGTATTCTCTTCGTCTTAAAAATAACATTAAACAACCCAATCAACCACTCCAATCCTGCTCTACCCACATACCTTCAAAATTCTACTAGAATCTTGTCTGGTCTGGTTGCTTTGCCCTGACTCATATTACACACAGCTACCACTACCTCCTCCATCTTAATACACCTACAGTACCTAAAGTCTCAAAGACCCTCGAAGTGCCCCAACTCCCCCAACACGATGTTCCCACCCCCCTCTTCATTCAGGAGTTTATGAAAGTACGTCTACCATCTATGCTTAATCTGGGACTCCTCCATCAACACTTTACCTTCCTCGTCTTTGATGCACCTCACTTGATCCAGGTTACAAGCATTCCTCTCTCTCACTTTGGTCAGCCAAAGTAACTTCTTGTCCCCACCTTTACCCCCCAATTCTTCATACAACTGATTAAATACAGCATTCTTAGCCTCAGTGACCACTAATTTCACCTCCTTCCTAGCTTCCTTATACCCTATTCTGTTCGCTCTCCTCTGCTCCTCGTTGGTGCTCTCCACTAGCGAAAGGTACACCTCTTTCTTTGCTGCCACTTTACCTTAGACCACGTCATTCCACCACTAGTCACCTTTGTGCTCACCATAATAACCCTTCGAAACCCCTAACACCTCTCTCGTTGCCTCTCTTATACAGTCTGTCCTCTCCGTCCACATAGCACTAGCATCCCCACCACTCTTCCAAGCACCCACAACCATCAACTGCCCCTCCAACTCCTGTGCATTACTCTTAGTCAAAACACCCCATGTGATCTTCGGTTGACCTTGCAAAAACCTCTTCTTCCTCTTTATCTCTATACCAACGTCCATCACTAGGAGCCTATGTTGACTTGCGAGGTTCTCACTCAGGATCACCTTACAATCCATGTACAACCCCTATCACACCTCCTTAAGAGGAGACAATCAGTCCGAGTCTTAGCTACCATACTCCAAAAAGTAACCAAATGCTCCTCCCTCTTCGAAATAACCAGAATTCGCGATCACCAACTCAAAAGCCCTAGTGAAATCCAATAGTGAAGTGCCTCCTCCATTCCTATCCCCAAAGACGAAGCCATCGTGCACCTTGCCATAACCCCCATCGGACGACCCAATATGACCATTGAAATCCCTTTCTATAAATAACTTCTCCGCAAGTGGAATACCCCACACCACCTCATCTAATCCCTCCCAGAAGTGCCTCTTAACATCCTTGTCCAGGCCCGCTTGCGGCGCGTAAGCACTACAAACATTCAGAGTGCTCCCTCCAACTACTAACATAATCGCCATCAATCTATCATTCACCCATCTAACCTCTACCACTGACTCCCTGAGCTCCCTATCCACCAAAATACCCACTCCGTTCTTGCCCTTCACGCATGCAGAGTACTACAATTTGAACCCGTCCATATTTCTCGCCTTCGATCCTACCCGCTTTGTCTAATGAACACAAGCTATATTGACCTTTCTCTTGTGGAGAATCTTTTCCAGCTCTATAAACTTACCTGTCAACGTCCCTATATTCCACGATCCAATCCTCAACCTATAGGCTCCCTTGTTGCCTTTACCCCCTATGGTCCCTATCCCACCCCTTGACCCGTGTCCCACCCTNACTACAACTGTTATACCTACGGTGGTCTAGACAAAAAATGCAACTATAGACAAGCAAAGGTCAAAACTCGGAAGTAACAAAAATTACAACTAATACAACATCAAATTAACTAAAACAAGCGAAAGAAAATAGGTGGCGGGAGGTACCAATTCCCGCGAATAAAACCTAGATGTTGTGGAACTCGATGTCCAACCCTTGTGACTGGCACATGACCTGCTCTATTACGGTTGCCCGTGCACCTCCCACCCGTCACTAAACAGCCACCAAAAAGTGCTACATGAAACACACACAACACACCACAAGACCAAGAAAAAGATAGGAGTGCAGGACTGGTTTACCCGTGTCGGCGCTGGAGATTTGCTGGTGGAGAGGTTACCATTATTTTAGCAAAGAAACAAAAATTGAAATCATAGATTTTGGGTCAAGGAGAAACAACAGTTGGTTATTCAAACCGATACTCCAACTAAAATGTTCCGATGAAAAAGCGAAAACGATTAAAATTAAGGCAATGGAATCAAAAGGTCCGATGAGGAGAACGCAGTCGGAGAATCTGGATAGGAAAAGAGTAGAGGAAATTTGCATGAAGTTTCAGAGATCGGAGACAGAGAAATACCCGAAAGTTGAAAATTCTGGCGAGTTATAGCCGTCAACGGAGACCACTAAAAGTTAAGGTATTTTGACCCAAAATCAATGAAGGACTAGATGAATCCAATATTGCCCTAAAATATTTTTTGATTTCTTGTTGAAGAACTTTCCTTTATTTATCATTTCAATTATTTATTTTTTCTTGTATTTTTTGGAAAGTGAAGTAAATTTAGTAATCGGTAACCATATTTTCTTTAATACTAGTTTTGACCATGAAAACTATTTTTGGATTAAACATTAAGGAGAACACAAAATGATAGTACAAATAAAGAAACTTGAAAAGTACTATAATACAAAATCACGGCGATGGTAAACTTGCAAGAAAGTTGGGGGTTTTATCGATAAAAAGAGAGAACCTAAAAGCCGATTCAAAAAATCATTGCTATGCATTAAATATTTATAAGTATTTTATTCCTCTATAGCTTAATCAAAATCCATCACTACTTATCAGAAGCTTAATTATGAGCCAGACTAATATTTCAAGGAGTATTATAAGTGAATTTAATCTTTTCTTCTAAGAAGATTATGCATATATTTGTACAAAAAATTACAAGTGAAATCTTGGACTCCACTTACCTCTATTAGTAAAATAACTATGTATAGAAAGAGAAAACTCAAAAGCCGATTCAAAGTCGCTGTAGTATTCTTTGTATGCCAATAAAAATGAATATATTTGTGCATTTTATGGTGGTTGTATAACGGTGAGAGTAGGAAGGAGGTGTCAATGAAGGTAGGTGGTTGGGTGGTTCTCAGCTTGGTGAAGATGATAAAGCGCATGCACTGTTGAAGAGTGGAATCGAGTGTGATGGATTCTTCCGGTGGAGTAATGTTATGGGAAAGGGTTATCTGATAGAGGATTTAATTATTGGGGCAAAAATCACGAGATATTCTTATTTACTGATAGTGGATCTATTGATGGCTTTAGGTGGGGTGAAAGAAGAAATTGAAGGAGAATTGAAGATATTGGGGGAGTGGGTAAAATAGGGTAGGGGTGGTGAGGTGACATGCTATATGACGTCCACCTCACCCGAATATAAGGCCACATAGACTGGGTCCTTACCATGGTGGACTTCTGTAAGAAATATGAGTATATATAATAAGTTTGGTGACAATATGACTATATTTGTTTGTAAATTATAACTGAAGTTAAATGTAGACAACATTTAAAGGTAGAGGAATAATATTGTAACGGTCTGACCGGTCGTTTTGAGATTCAGCGTTTCTTTCGACGATTTGAGACTTTGAGTAGCTTCATATTATGTATTATGACTTGCGTTTATGGTTGGTTTTAGTTTTCGAGTGGTTAGGGATTGATTTGGAAGAATGATTCTCGTTTTAGAAGCTTTAAGTTGGAAGAGTTGGCCAAGATTTTACTTTTGGCTAAACGAACTCGGAATCAGGTTTTAATTATTCCAATAAGTTTATATGATGATTTTGGAAAGGTCCACAAAGTTTGGTTAAATTCCGATGAGTTTTGGATAAGTTTGGGTAGTTTGGTGATTGTTTTCGGTTTCAGTCGATTTGACCGTAAATGTTACTATATTCAGCAAGCAGTCTTTGATTCGTATTTTGACAAAACTATTATATTCGTATCATAATTTTAGAACCATATCAACTAAAATCATCAAGTTTCGACATCGTATGAGGAATTGATGGCCATTTTACTAAGAATTGGGTTTGCTAGATTATTAAGATTAGTTACGAGATTGACACTGAATTAATATTTAAAAATCTATACTATTTTCAAATATTGAAATCAACATATATCCTTTATTATAAGGTCAAATGGAATTATTCAAAATCCTAACTTGACTGAAATTTCCCAAAAAATCCATTAGAGGTATCAAAAGTGAGTTTCGGGATTGTTTGGCATAAGAAACGAGGCAGAACATCTAAGACAGAAGTATATAAATATCGAGAGTTTGTTCATTTGGTCATATTTTGCGTTGGGGAGCTCGGATTTGGATAAATTTGTAGGCAATTTTTACCACATGGATTGGAGTAAGTATTATATACTTGGTTTTGATTATATTTCATGAATCCATCTTTATTTTTGCATTTGATTGATGACCGATAATAGCCTAGATTCATGTAGTTTGGCGACTATTTATGCCCCAATTTGACTATGCTTCATTGTTCTAGGAAAGTTAAATAACGATAAAATGGCTCTAATTGTGAACTTTATGTTTTGTTGGAGCAAGTCGTGCTTATGGGGACTTAGGACAATGTTCAGAGCTAAATTAAAGCAAGGAAAGCCCCTCGGAATTGAGTACGTGTGAAAGAAGAAAGAAAAGAAGAGATAAACAGCCGATCCACTCTAGCGTGGGCCAAGCGCGGCCACGCTAGGGAAAAAGAACTAGGGCAGTGTTGAAGACAATTAGCACGGCCCAAGTGCGGTCACGAATGCGGCCGCGCAAGTCTAGGAAGCAGCGACAGTGTAGTTTGCCATTTGCGCGGCCGCGCTAGTCATTTTGAAACGCAGAAATATTAGGGGTAAACTTGGAAGTTTGGGGTCAATTCCACTTAACCTATAAGAGGTTCTGGTCGCCCAAAAAAGAGGATATCAAGGTTTTTATAGTTTTGTTCAAGGCAAGTAGAGGCAAGAGGCAAGGAGGATAATTCGGCAACGAGTTCTACCTTTATTCCTTTTGTTTTTATCATTCATGATGAATTTTGCTATTGTTATTATGAACACGATGAGTAGCTAAATTATTTAGTCTAGGGTTTTGATGGAACCTGTTAAGGGATGAACTTCTTGTTGTGTTAATATAGTTTGCCTAGTTTAATTTCTATTTGGTCAACTACGTTATTGTTGTAGTTAATTGATAGGATCCTCAATTAGATGTGCCTATTTAATATGTATTACTCGGGAGAGAGTGCATATTTAGTTAGTTGTTGAACAACACTACTCCCAAAGTATATGAGGAATCAATAACCGAGGGTTTAAAGGTAGGATTAGGGATAACGAAACCTTGGGTGCGATCTAAGTGAGCTGTAATAAATGTCAGCGAGCGTAAATTGGGAGAGTGCGTCTAGTAAATTGTCATAATTACTCGAGGGATAGTTACGGTAGTAAGAGTGCTCATGATTGATAAAGACGATTAGGCAAAACTATACGAAACATGACAGGAAGGGATTCCATCAATAGCGGAAATCACAACCTTAGATCATTCCCTTATTTGTTTACAACTCAGTCATAATTAGCTTTTAGTTTATTTAATTTTATTCAGTTATAGATAGTAGAAATATCACCAAGTGATATTCAAAATATTTGGAAAGTTGATTACGGAGAATTCAGTGAGTCTGACAAAAGTATTTGGTAGGTTAATTCCCTGTGGGATTCGACTCTGGGCTAAATACCCAGATTATATTTGCAACGACTGCTTTCCTTTTTATAAGGCATAGTTGGGCGTGATCAAATTTTCACGCCGTTACCGGGGAATTAACGGTGCTATCAATTATAGTTGAAAGAAATACAAAAATTCTTAGTGTAGTCAATTTTTTTCATTGTCAATCCATACATTAAAATTTTAACGTTTGCTAACTTGGTTATACATGTGCATGCCTAGAAACTCATCGATAACTGGTGAAGTGTTTGAAGCACTATCAGATCTCGAGAAAGTTTTCAAGGCCTTGAATAAGGCCAACCGGAAAAACAAACAACAACAATCAGTTGAACAACCTGAACCAGACATGGTAGACCAGGTAAACAACAGAGACAACAACAAGGATAATGTGGTAGACCCAGCTGCGCAGGTAGTGGCACCTCTAGTTCCAGAGGTTACTCTATATGACTGGGCGCAACCCACAACAGAGAATTTGGCCACAACGATATTAGTCCCGCAGATATAGGCTGAATCTTTTCAAATCACAAACAACATGTTGCACTTGTTGCAAAACAAGGGACTATTTTCGGTGTCATACATTATAGATCCTCAACATCACTTGAAGAATTTTCTGTCAATCTGCAAAACTCAAAGGCATCCCAACATAACTCAAGAAGTAATAAAACTGTTGTTGTTTCCATTCTCAG